TACAAGAAACATAACAGAAATATTCAGCACAGAACAATTGTACAAGTCTGAAATATTTTTACCCATCTAATGCAGGACCTGCCTTTTAATTTACCATAAAATGGGTAAAGAAGGTCCCTTGCTTTTCCTGGCACAGGGCATTTTCCATTTATTTTTTTCACCATCTCTTGTGATATAGTGATATTTTCCCATAATGGGTGGTTTGAATTCAGCTGGATTCTTGCCAAAACAGGAATTTTATCTGCTGCTTTTTACAGATCATCTTAAGTGAATATGTTAAGCCAGCTCTAAACTTTCTCAGAAGTGCCTTTAGTTTTTTATTGCTTCAACACCATTTGTTTTTGACAGTTTTTTTATGAGCTTCTCTACTTAAACACCAGGATGCGTACTGTGTTCCCATAGCCCCTTGTCAAAGTGTCTCTTTGGAGATAGTTTGGGTCCTGAACAGCAGGAGATGTTGTCAACACCTTTGTAAGTGCTGTTTAGAAATCTAACAGAGCCTTGGAGATGAGAATGGCCCTATCATGAGCTATGCACATGATCTACTGTTGTATGCTGTATTGAGCAGTAAATCAGCTTTATCCGGTGATATGTCTTTAGGGGGAAAGTAACAGTGAAAAGTGGAAAACAATATATTATCTTGGATTCATGAGTGTAATTTTCTGAGCTACGGCCAAGCTTGAATATAAAGTCTTTCTATAGGAGTTGTACAGCAGTAGATGTTACTTTTCTGGGGAAAATGAGTTCAGGCCCTTCCAAAATTTACTGTAAGCTGGATTGAACAGCTTCTTTTTAAGGTTAAAGCTACGTCTGTCACTGACATTAACTTTCTCAAAGTTCCAAAGTTCTCTTCATGCTGTTTAATTTCTTAATACCTAGTATATTACCTTCTTAGTAGGTATAGGGGATATCTTTTACATTTTGTGTTTTTTTTTTCTCTCCGATTTCTGGTTGTTGATTCAGAAGATTTTGGTTGATTATTACGTTTATTTACATACTGTATAATCCAACCCAAAGATGAAGGGGTCTAAACTGATGCCAAGCCATTGAGGTTCAGCAATTAATGGCTTCGTAGGAATCTTTAGTTGACATTGTGTGACACAGTGAGATCAGTTAAATTATGCTGAGAAAAAAATGTCAATCAAGTATAATGAGCCGGAAGTGAAAGCCCAGTTTCATCATGGTTCAAACACATTTCTGAGAGCTTTCCTGTGTACTCAATCTCCCTGTTTATTGCAAAACAACCACCAAAAAATCATCCTGGGATAAATAATGAGTTTACTTTTTTAACTCTTAATTTGTCAAATTCAAAGTCTCCCTAAAGAATTGTTGTTTCTTTCTTTTTGTTTAGTTCAAAGATGGTTCTTATCATTAGCAAGGTATGCCCTTAAAGACATTAATTAGTCCTAAATGCACTGGAAAAAAATACATTTTAGTATGAAATCCATATGAACGTAAAAAGGAAGTTTAAATGTCCTGTCATTTTCTGTTTATTTTTGTTTCCTGGCCTATCATATGCATTGTGACTCATCTTTAAAGGAAACCACTCACATGTACAAAATCTTGTTTTTGTAAATCAGTACAGTGATTACAGTAATACTCAAAATACTGTACCAGGAAAACAGTACTTCCTTGTTGATTGAGTGCCTGAATGCATGCCCAGGGTATCTTGTTCCAGTCCTGGACAAGAAGGGCCTAGAGACTTAAATTGGCAAAGGTTCTGTGGAAATGGATGACTTTTCAGTCAGCATTCGGATTTGTTCTGAAAGTGTTCAGTTTTTGCCTTGTCAGGTTACTGAGAAAAGCACTGGACCTATTCCGATACTATAAGCACCCTCAAGCTTCATGAATGTGTGAATAGTGTTGACATTGACATGACAGACACATTTAATGTTATGTGGAACTTTGGGGAAAATGCAAACCATTGTTGGATTTATAACCTAAGTGAGAAAATTCTCTGTTTCCATCCTCTGATAACAGAAAGGGGTGTCCATTAATAGTACATCTTTCTACCCTAAACTATCTTACTTTCTTCACCTCATACATAGGAGAGGGTAACTCTACTCTGACCAGAGTGTGGGTGGTCCCCAGCATTGCCTTTCAGCTGGTAATGGTCATACAGTTTTGTAACAGTGGTGTAGTGGAAATGTACCTCACCTGTCTTTCAGCCTCACATTTCAACTATCTGACACTCAGCATTCCTACCACATAGCACTTTCTCATTACTTTGTTGTGGTTCTTGGCAGCATATGATTGTCTTCCAAACCAACAAAATTACAACGTTACGGCAGTCTGGCTTGGCAAATCTTAAATCCTTAAAAGCAAGCAAGAAATCCAACAATATGACAACTGTAAAGGTCTGCACAGGGCTTATGGTGTAACATTCTATTAATATGTAGAACCTGAATGTGAAATAAATAGCCTCATAGTCCACAGTTATTATTTAGAGCACAACTGCATGATGTTACAGTAAATCACATATTTCACACAGTTATGTTGGAAGTAAATGAAACATTTAAGTGGTGCATGTTTAAAGCTAGACAAGGTTAGTTCTACACTGAGAAGTAGAAAGAGACTTCTAAATTGTCAGCTTTGGAGTTTTCAGGTGAGTCACAGTAAATGGTTGTGCTGTGTTCAGCGTGTAAATAACCTCTACTTGTTCTTTTGCAGCATTCAGGTTAACACAGCTCCCCACTGGAACCTTTTCAGTATATGAAATGTTCCATTCAAGGCAGATAGCACTACCCCTCACATAAAAGGAGTTTGTAGCAATGGTTCACAACCATGGTTTGTCTTTTAGCTTTTCTTCCAGCTGATTTCTTAATCACAGGCTAATTTATTTTAGTATTCTGTCTGGGGCCTATTTTTTTAATTTGCTTTCATGTTTTGAAAGATCAAATGGGATTTGTAGTTGGTGTCAATGCTGTACAATTTTCTGATTTTCAGAAGTGACTTTATTCAGGTGTGTTACCTGAAATGTGACCTCTGCAGAAGGATAAAAAGCTCACTGTGGTAGTATTTGAGACAGGACCAGTTTGTGATAAATTAATCACATAACCTTGAAGCTGGGAATTTTTGAAAGTCAGAAATAAGTGCAGAAACAAGTTAACTAAAAATGTAAACAAGCAAGAAGGTCAATTAAATCCATCGATCAGCAGTGGTGATTTAGAGCTCTGCTAGAACAAAAGGCAGCAGACTCACTGGTTCCGCTGTAAGAGATCTTTTGGAAGTGACACAGAAGTGGACAGGGCAGTTTTCCAGATGTGATGAGTGTTAAGCAGTAAGACTGGATATTTAGTCCCATCTCCAATTGTTGGACTTTCAGTGGGGACGGGAGTCTGAAATGGTTATTAACTTCATGCTGTATAATAGCGTTAAGCATATCAAAACAATTTTAACTGACCAGATTGTTTCATGGTCATTGGTATAAATATTACAGAGTCCTGTTTTTAAATGTAATGCAATCCATTTCACTAACATGAGATGGAATGCCATGCAGTGTTAGTGCTTTTAGTATAAAATGAATTAACTCAACCTTATTTTTTTAAATCAAACCTGTGAAAAGGGTTTAGAACAAAAGCAGCTACCCTTTACTTGGGCAAAGACCAAAGGAAGGATCAGTCAAAACCAGATTTAAGGCAGCAGTGAATGTCTTATAAGAATATTATATAAATTGGCCTCCTCTCTTAATGATTGTACGTCACATTTCTTAACATGCATCATTTCAGTATTTTCTGTCTTGTGTTTCAGGGAAATGGCATTTAAGTTTCACCTCTTTCAGTATCTTTGGGATACAGTACATCTGAAGGTCAAAATGATTAAAATAGTACTTAACAGTAAAATGGAAAGGGCCTGACAACTGGAAAATATACCTCATGTAGATAAGATGAAAAGGGGGCACTAGCTTAGAAGTACCTTACAGGTGACTCACAGATCTGTACTCTCTTGTACCTCTACTGTAAGGACTTACATAGTCCCACTTCCTATCAACATAAAAACCCACATTTGAAAAGATGTTTTCTTTCAGTGTTTTCTTTTTTATTCACAATTCCTGTTTTCTGACAGGTCATTTCTAAACTTCGGGTGCCATTCCTTGAATTTTTAAATATTTTAAAAATGCTTAGCCTTGCCAACACATTGGAAGTAACATCAGAAAGCAATTTGGCAGGTTAAGGAGAAATACGGAGCCATTCAGCATTACCGTATAACATTTTTTTTTTCTAATTTAAGCAGTCCTTCTTCCTTGAATTCAGAGATAAACAAGACTTTTAAACTTAAATAGCAAATGTAGTATTTTATCATTTGTAGTTGTTTAGAATTGTTTTGGAGCTAGTCATCTGCTATCTCAGTAATATTTATTAAAGGGCTTTATACAGCAACATCTGTTTTTTGGCAGCTTTTTTATGGATGGCATAATGTACAGGAGGCTTTATCGCGAAAAATGGGAGTTAAAATGACACCATGTTGAAAGGAACTCTATTTCTGTAGATGGATATATCAATTTTAGCTGTGCAGGAATTTCTTCAGAAGAAGGAGATTAGGAAACTGAGTGACCACCTGACCTCATCCCAATAGAAAACACGTGGCAAGAGTTGAAAGCGAGGGTTAAAGTCAAGCAACAACCAATGAGAGAGGATAAATGGAAGAGTATTCCCACCTCATGATAGAAGTAAAAGTATACTGGGTGGTATACAAGGTTAAAGGGAAAACTGGCTAATGAAGTTTTGAATTCGAGCTTGTTGTTCCCTATTTCTCATGCTTATATTTATTGATAAGTACTGCTTTTGTACTAAATTCTCAATGTGTTTATTTTTTTTCCTTAGCTGTGCTTTGTAAATGTAATTGACCCTCTGCATGATTCACAAATGAACTTGCGTGATTGTAGCCCTAAACTGGATTTCATGAGCCCTACATTTGCAGTACTGTACTGTATGTAAAACATGCTTATTTGGCTATTCATTTCTTTCATTGACGTACTTTCCTCACTTTTGTATTTTCAGCTGGTATAGTTTGGAGTCCAGGCCTGGAAAGAAGAGGAAAGATCGGGGGCAGATCCAGGTCAGCATCCAGTTCATGAGGAACAACATGACGGCCAGCATGTTCGATCTCTCCATGAAAGACAAGCCCCGCTCGCCTTTCTCTAAGCTCAAAGACAAGGTGAAGGGCAGGAAGCATGATGGGATGCTCTCCGACACCTCCTCTGCCATCCTTCCGCGATCCCTCCACTGTGACACCGACTCCCAGCTCTCTGAAAGGGATCGCCACCTCAAAACCAAACCTAAACGTACGCTGCTCCTGGGACCACAGAAGCTTTCCGCAGCCCATTCCATGTCTGATCTCATCGGCTCCCATTTCCGCCCTAAGCTGGATTCCATGAATTCAATCGAGGAGAGTGGTGAGTGCCCGAAACAGTTTAGCTTTTACTTCTTACAAGTTTTGCTTACTCCTTCCAACGTTTTTCTTTCACCTTGGTTATTGCTGTATCTGTGTAGAATTTGCTGCTTTCACTGTTTCGGTGTCTAACTTGACAACTATGTTTTTATATAGTATATTTATGTTTAGTGGATCATGTCAGTTAAATCAAACCTATCAAAGATGTTTAAAGCACTTCAAATATGTCTGTCTTACTCTCTGGTAGATGTAGTTACAACATTGCACGTGTCTTCGCTCATCAAATGAAGATAAACCCAGGGTTAAAACATTGCAAACAACAAAAATAAAGAAGTTGAGGTTTTTATGAATTAATAGTGTTCTATATAAATAAGAATCCAAAAATTAGAGCAATGATCCAATTACAGAAACTGGTCAACTGGAGTGCAGCACTACAGTTTGTTGGTTTATTGGTGAAATGAATCTTATTGCTTCATGGGTCTCCCTGCCATTAAGGGTGTGCCAAATGTCAATAGGCTTTTGACCTGGTACCAATATAAGGAAAGAATTAATTACCTGCTAGGGTCTGTTTCTTTTAACCGCTTATATGCACTGATATTATTGCTTCCTGAATGTTGTGATACATAAACATGCATAAATAGTGAGATGTGCACATAAGCTGCATTGAGCAGTTTGTGATCTCTCTACTGATTAACACACAAAAATGTGTTCTAGAATATTTTAAATTTTATGGAAATAACTGGATAGCTAATTTGCAGACTCACTACACAGATTCCATATGAAAACAACAATATTGATAAAGACACCTCACACCTGAAGAAGGCTCCATGGCCGAAACATTGTTTTCTTTCTTCTCTTTTCAGCATGGAATAAACCTATCACTTGTTCCTTTGCAGCCTATGCATGCTGACCCAGCTACCCACCTGAACTATATTGATAAAGATTTCAACACAACATATCTAATACACTACCTCAAGCTATATCAACCTATTAAATACAGGAACTAAAGAAAAGAAAGTGGCAGAACTAGAGGACCCTCACTAAAGCATCTACCATTGCTTCAAACACCAGGAGTAAGATTTTAAGGAAGCCAGGGCAAAATAAATTATAACCCATTTAATGGAATTCATATCTCAGTATAATCAGTTGTTTTCAGTTTTAGAAGACCCTGGATTCGTTGTCTCCTTGAGTGTCTGGAACCTCTTTATACTCTACCCAGCAGGAGGTTTATGTCTGGCCACCCCTTTTATTACTTTATTTTACTGCTGCTAAAAAAATCAGAATGGTGTTTTATTATTATGAATACTACTTTTAGTACATAACAAACCACAACAGTTTCTTTTCTGCCTTCTGTCTTGAACTACCCTGCTTGTTACTGCATTTGATTTCCGTTTCAAAGCTGAAGCTCAGTTGTGTGGCAAATTTGTTGGGTTGAATTTTGCACACGAAGTTACAAATGTTTGTGCTGATTCTGTTGTGGTCAAGTTAATGACATTGACATGTTTATCATTTAGTTGATAACTTCTTAAGCATTAATTAGGACGTGAAGGTGTGTTTCTATTTCACCTTTTCTGTAAGCACAATCGCAAAACGTTTTATAAAATGGATGACTATTCTTTTTATTACTTCCATGCATCCATCCATTTTCCACATGCTTTGTCCAGTACCGGGTCACAGGGTAGCTGGAGCCTATCCTGGCAAGCAGTGGGCGCAAGGCAGGGTACACCCGATACTGGACCATCACAGTACATCACAGGGCAGACAGACATGAAGACACACACACACTCACACATGGGCCAGTTTTTTCAGAAGCCTTTTAACCTACCAGTATGTCATTTGAAAGTGGGAGGAACCACCCCTAAAACACAGGGAGAACATACAAACCCTTTGCAGATGGCTCCCCAGGAACTGAACCCAGGGCCTAGCGCTGCAAGACAGCAATGCGCCACCGTTTATATTAGTTTTCTGAACTAAATCCACCTCTTGTACTAGCGAAGGTTAAGGTTGTGGAAATCAATATCTCTTCCTGAAGCACACAGAGGGACTAACAGCGGAGTAGGGCTCCTGCTCTGGCTGGGACACCGGTCTACTGCTGGGCCACGGAGAAAGGGACTACTTTGGATGACTGAGCTAACGTGACAAGTAATATTTTTTCCTGCAAATGCAAAAAGGAAATATCGCCCATAAATTTTGATAATTGTGTAGTGGAATGTAATGGTATTAGTCTTGGTACCAGCTGATATGAGAAAAAAGTAGGCTAATAATATTGGCCATAGAAAATCCTAATTCCCCCTTACTGTCATTTAAGAATGCTGATTATTGACTTACCAGATTGATAGTATAGGTCTGTGTGATGTTAACTAAGATGGATTTAATTGCCTCGCCCTTCACAGGCAGTGGTGGCTCACCTCATCGGAGGTCTCAGAGTGAGGTGCCCTCCAACCTGCCAAGTCAAAGTGAGAGCGAGGGTGGCCAGAGCGACCCCTTTGCAGACATCTCTGACTCGTTGCCTCAGAAATACGCCACCCTCCCACGGAACCGAAACCCCTTCGAGAGTGAACAGCTTACGTACTGGGACAAGCCAGAGAAAAAGGAGAAGAAGGAGAAAGTCAGCCTCCTGGAGAGAGTTACGGGGAAGAAAGATGGCAAAAAGATGAGCAATGGAGCTAGGTCTGGCAGCTCCACTGACCTGCGCTCTCCGAATCCTTTCAGTGACGATCTACACAGTGATACCAACCCCTTCACCTTCAACTATAAGATTAGCAACACAGCTTCAAAGATAAGGTATGTGTACTATTGTTTGAAAAAGGTATTTTTGCTTCCATTTCCATTTTTTTCTGAGTGACACAGTGTGAATGCTGCTATTGTACATATAAGAAAGTAGCCGACAAGCTGTGTGCATTACTATACTGTGAAGACACAGCAAATTAATTTGGTAAGTTGTATCCTGCATTTCTTAGAGAGTTAAATAACAAAGTAGAGCAGCTGATAAATGAGATCAAAACATTCTTGTAGATAACCTGTACAGGTTACTGAATATCTTGCATGTAAAAAGGGAAAGGATTTTTTTATCATAACTATATTAAACAAAAGATGTCCCTGAATATGCCAACTTTTAGATTTTACTCTGGCATATTTAATTGTGTTTTTATACAAAGAAATATGCACTGTATTTACCAAAAACTACAGTAACAGAGAAAGAGTATAATGTGACCTGCCAGTCAGTGTGTTATCTTATGTGGAGGACAGAATTAAGAAATCCGGAAATCTTTAGAAGTGTAGGGCAGAGGTGGAAAGACCCTAATTTAGACTTTCCCTCCGCATGCTTATGAACCACATCATGCACTGTAAATCAGATGGCCTCTCCTCTTTGGAAAGGTCACTGAAGCCCTTATTTCAACAATGGCACCATGTGAAAATTTCTCAATTTACAGTACTTGACAGGCGCTACCGGAGAGCCCTGTTTATCTGAATGAAGGTGCCATTAGCAGCACTTTGGAGAGACTGGGCATATTAACAAGGCCCTCTGAGGAAGACGTAAGGTAATTAACAAGATCCACAGAGATACAGGCCAGTCAATTAATGAGTTCTTCTCAATGTCATCAGACATGGAGATAGATGTTGGAGATGATTTGGAAACCACATAGGTTAATGCTGAGGTTGACTAAAAAGCAAGGTAGCAAATGTGCTGTTGAATACCATTTGTGGAAAAGCTTGATACTAGGCTTACTGAAGGCTTACATTTTTTTGTGTTCTGTGAGAAACTAAGACTTGTATGTAACAACACTCTGATATTAGAAACATACAAGTATACAGTATTAGTTATGGCAATGTACTGTACTGAAGGTTTCCTTGTGTTTTTCCCTCCTGTAACAATTATTGATTGTGAAAGACCTGCCATTGGCTTGTCGGCCTGTTCTGACTGTATTTCATATAAAGAACCCTACCTTCAGAGATTACATGGACTGACTTTAGAACTAATCTTTCATGCATAAATTATAAATAATGCCAAAATCCAAACTGAATCAGAATAAGGAAAATGTACTCCATGGTTACTCTTGTATTTGGTACTTTTTAAAGGAATTAACTTAGCTCTTGTACTGTATAGCTACAAGAAACTTCCAAGTTATAGAAAAACCATAAAATGGAATTATTGAATTCAATTATTGAGAAGAAATTTGGCTGCTTTACTGGTTTTTCTGAAGATTGTCTTTTTACTGTTTTATTGGAATATTAGTTTGAGCTAGAGAACTCGGCATGTCCGTGTATGACAAATCTTTCTTGCTCAGATAAGAATGGCAGATACTACCCTTTCTCTTCACACATGTTTGTATTTCATAATGTCATGGCATTCCATTAATAAGCAAGTGACTGGCTTTTAATCAGGGCTGTTTTTCTGATTAAAGTTCTAGATTGAAAATCAGTGTTTCTAACACTTGCTAACTATAATGGTTACAGGACACACAGTGAAACACCTTGCCTCGCCACTGATTGCACGATTCTGTCATTTGGACTAACTTACTGGGAGCTGCAAACAGTTTTGTAAACATACAATTTACTATGGGTATTCATATTTGATTCCAAAGGATAAAGAATATTGTAAAACATCTTCAAAATAAATGTATACGTCCTGATCTTAAAGCAAGCATGTGTACATTCATACTAGCTGTTAATCACTTCTTTAAGTAGTATGGTACCCAGGATGTTATGAGATGGGATCTTTTTCCCTGCCCCCGAGCTATGAGCTACCTGCCCTCATATTCTCATGAGCACGGAAAGCTCTGTGTCACACAAGTGTATCCAATAGCTTGTCTGACATGGGAATGGCACTTTTTCCATTGAAAAGACATTACAAATTGTCGCCACACTTCCTTGAGTGGAAACGTTCTCGGTTTTCTCCAGAGCTAATTTGATCCAGTCCACTTAACTCATTTTTTCCCCTCTGCGGGAGATCAAATAGAATAAAAGAAAAGAAAAGGCTTGACCCATGAATGAGGCAGTCCGTCACATCTTTGACACATCAATGCAAACATTAAGAGGTGAACTGAGAGGGAGGTCTCCTGTCTTCAGAGTTCACACAATGCATGATGAAAGAGGTCTCTCATTGAACTGCCTTCTACAGGGAGTAGGCCACTGCCTCTCAGATCATTGTTACAGCCTGGGATAATGAGAATTTGCCAGGACCTGCTTCATGGACCACCTTCTCTTTTAGCTTCTGCAGCTGTGACCTTCCTTGTAACCCGAACTCCCTCTTGTTTCGTTTGAGCTTGCTCATGAGCTGGCTTGAGTTTGGCTATTCCTATACGGTGCATGTCTTTTCACCTGTGGAGAGGAAGGATTTTGAGTGTTCATGATATATGCATGTGAAACTGTAGAAAAAGCTAAAGAAAGAGCACTCTGGGAAACACAGTTTAAATGATTTCTTGCCAAGAACAGGCTGACCTAGAATCTGGATCAGGTTTTTTCTTTGCATGTAAGAATGAAAGGGCCTATTTTATAATAGTAAAACCAGAGAGCACTGATATATGAGGGTTTATGTGCAACGGTAGAAAATCACCACAGTTAAATGAAGTAAAATTAAGCATTGCTAATAGAAATAGTGATGATAATATCTCGCTTTCTACAGTGGGTTATTGTTATTAAGAGAAATAAGTTCCAAACTTATGTTCCCTCTCAGGCAGTAGGAATGGAATTAAATTGAAATGAATTGAATTCATGTTAATGAGTCTGAATTAGTGCACCAAGATCAATAGAGGGAGGAGTACAGAAAAACTGTGCCCCAGATCATTTTGGTATTAGATTTCTTTGGTTTGTTCCTATTAAGGGAAAGTTGGATTGGCATATCCACCTATGTGGGACTGAGAGACATCACAGCAGCTAGAAGAAGCTGTGAAACTGTCTAAATTCAGCATTATTTCAGCATTATGCATTATGAAAGTTGTTGTAACTTTCGTTTTTCACAAGCATCTCTTTTCCCTTAATCATGCAATGCCACATACTGTATAGCAATAGATGCAGCACAATTAGAGCTGCTGAGGATGATCACCAATAAAGAGTGAATGCGTAAAATTATCTTACAAATTCCCAAACAAGTTTTGTTTGTAAATTCTGTGTAATTTATTTTCTTTATTTTTTATGCAGCTCCAATTTAAAGAAGCCTATGAGCAGTGAAGACATCAGTCCAAACAAACACACGTCACCGAACAAGAAAGAAAATCAAGCCAAGAAAAAAGTAAGAAAGTACATGTCATTTAATGGGTGCAAATTAACTGATTTATTAAGATAATACTAATTATTTTGGAATTGCTCTGTCCTGCAGTTACATCAATTGTTTGCCACTAAATAACCCTGAGGATATAAACTATGTAATGTATCACACAAAAAGGACATTACACTTTTCTTTACTTTTGTTTTGCTTTAAACTCATCAAACTTTCTATTTTTCCATAAGATGTTTTGTTTAGTAGTGAATTTAATGCCTCAGCTCTAGAATACTGTGCTGTTAAGGGTGAGAGTTGTTGAAATGTAACATATACAGCCCAAAATCACAGTGTGCATTTTACAGTAACAGTGGAAAAACTATATAAAAATGACCTTTTTGGCATGCTGCTCCTATTTTCTGGTGACATGAAACAAGTCTGACCATTTACTGTAAATAGAACATAAAAACAGTTTAATAGCCAATGTTACTGTTAAATTCTAATTATGCCTTACGATGATTAGCATAAAAGTAAAACAGAAAACGATTTGTCTACCAGCTGGGAGTACCCCATCGCCAGCTCTCCTCCGTTTGTTTGTTTTGCCACTATTTTATCTCCTTTTCACAATTTACTTGAGGCTTATATGGAAAAGGACTGGTAAGCTCTAGGCTTCAGGGCCCATCCTACTTTCCAAGCCTAGACTTCAGAAGAGCCACTTTGGAACCCTATAAATTTCATATAATGTACAGTAACTGGTTATCTTTTCTTTTCTAAATCAAGCCTTTTTATTGGACAATAGTAAATGTCAGGGTATCAGGGTTATAGATGAGCAGGTTTTTGGCCTTGCATGTCATCATCTGACAGTTCAGTGTGCTTCATTATACATCCTACACAAGGTTTTATATTTTTGCCATTTTTAAGGTGAGATTTAAAATAGTTCCTATTGCTGCAGTCTTTTTAAAAAAAATTGTTTTTCTTCAGTTTTTACAATAAATGAAGGGTTTCCTAGCATGGATCATTTAAAACGGAACTGAGAAATTAGTTCTCAGACCTGTTATTAATTCTTGGTAACAAAGTAAATAAATTGACAGTATAGAAAAAAAATGACAAATATCGAATTCAGCATAAAAGAGTGAACTTTGTGAAAGTCTGTAAGTCACCATGTTGTCGCAAACCCGAGAGTGAGAGTTAGCACAAATTCCTGCTCACTAGTCACTGTAATGACTAATGTAATGCGACGTTCGAACGAATAAGTGCAGGTTGTGCAGATGGCATTGGAAAAATGTTCCAATATGATCTTCATGCAGAGTTAGTAAGTAGTAAGTAGTATTTGTTAGCAAAAGGTGAGGGCAGTATTTCTATTGGACTAAAAGAGATGGTTTTATAAGTCTGCTTGTTAACAATGTAATGAGGCTGCTTCACCAGAAGTTTTGTTGCCTCGTTCTGAATTGCAGAATATGGCGCTGCACTTATCTGGAAATTTAGTCTATTTTGTGATGTAAATTGGAGGTACACGTTACTGTGTACATTTGACTTTTATTGTAATTTGAAATGCCAACTTTTTCCAACCCCAGGATATAAAAAATAGTATTGTAGTTTCCTTTTAAAGTGCTCACACTAAATTCTTGCATCAATTCAGTATCAGTTCTTTGATAATATGCATACTGTCGATAACATTTTTTGAGTCTTTTCTTGGCACAAACATTTCTAAAAATAGAATCAGTACATGACCACTCATTCCTGACAGAATTTGACTTTGCACTTTACACTGAACAGAAAGAATGTGAAAATCCCAGACCTTCTTTTGTATCAGGTAATTATCCTCTTGTTTGTAAGTGTGGAAAAAGTCTGATAATTTGCAATTAAAACCAATACACCTTTTAAAACCTACAGTAACAGTAACCTACAGCTGTGCGAAATAAGCAGCTGCACCTATTTTAAGAAGCTGAGGATTTGGAAAACTGATCGTCAGAGACAATTAATTTATGTTTCAAGATATAAGGATTTGGAATGCTTCTTAAAAAATGCAGTTGACAAAGGATACATCCAGAGAAAAACATCAGACAAATCCTATGCTGGATGCACTTGGATCTGATCAAAACAACTTTCCCAGGCCTCATGTTTCCAGCAGAAAACGGAGCATAAAATCAGAGAATTTTCATTGCCCTCTTTTGTAGGAAGCAATGAAAATCTTCCACGACTAATTAAAGCTGTCTAGAATGATGTTGTGAGATGCCTTTTACAGCCACAAACAAGAGCTTCAGATGCCAGATAAAGTACATTATTATGTTTTTTAATCACTTAAGCAAAACAGCTGTTTAAAACACTGCTCACTTTTAATTGGATACTTTCTTTGGCTTGTTAAACATCAGAAATTGATTGCTGGATCCCCTAGCTGAATCATCTTTGACATTCTGCTATAAGTGCGCCATTATCTAATTAACAGTTGAAAACAATGGCCATTGTCTTTGATCTGCTCATAATTACAGACTGTGTAAAGTTATTATTGTACTCCTCCAGGTCATGGGATTTATTATCCCGTACTTCTTCATAATTGGAGCTCGTTGGTGAAATGTGACGTGTAAATTGCCTTATTTAAGAATTTAAAAGTGGAAAAGAGAAAGAAAAAAAATAAATTGCTTTTGTGCTTCAATGCGTCTGTAACACTAAGTATCTTTAATGGCAATTATTGTTATGCTAAAGGTGTTAGTTTTTTAAACTTCAAAATAATTGCTATTTACGCCATTAGTATTTTTTTCTAAGGGAAAAAATCCCCTGACAGAGTGTAAATGATGCAGATGATATAGACAATTTTACTTGTATCTTCTCATTATTAGCCCCTGAAGTGACTTTTAGTCTGGATAAAGGTCATAATCTCCAGGTCTTCTGAGGGCCTCCTGTGAGTCAGTGCCAACATCTGTTACAGTGTGCAAAGCAATGGCCAGCTGAAAAGGCAGCCTGAGTGCTTAAAGGCCTAATTAAGCACTGGAGGGAGGATGGCAGGAGATGTGAAAGTAGCTGGTCTAATATTCCCAGAGCAAAGTTCCTCATTAGAGCAATAATGAGACAACTGGAGAATGCCAAGTGTTCACCTTATCTCTTCTTCTCCCTCTCCTTTTTCTTTCTTTTGCATAGATCCTTTTTATAAGACACCAGTCAATATTGCATGTTTTACTGTATGGTGAATATTTAGTTCAACTTTTGCAAATACGTTGGGAACCTCTTTGTCAATTTATTTAATATGACTTTGTTATTTTGTCCTCAACTATATCATATGCATTACAGTTTTCATTCAGGTGACTGTTTGGTCAGTAGCTCTTATGCAACTCAGAATGTTATATGTGACAACTGTTTTTTTTCATTTGTGGAAAAGAATATACAAAATATGTTTTCCTTTGTGGTACTTGATGCATGTTTGAATCCTATAGACTGTTGTTTGTCATCTCGAAGCAGATCTGAAATTATTCATGCTATCAAAATTTACACAGAAGCTTCTGAAAGTAATTTTCCAAAGCTCGTTGAATGGATGTATAACAGAAAAGCTTTTGATTGCTCTCCATGCAGAAAGCTTTTAGCACTTTAAGCCATACAACACCGATGTGCCATTGGCCTTGAATTATTCTTGTCTTCCTTTTTGTCTTTGTTTTGAAAAATCCCCTAACTTGGTGAAGATGATGGTAAGGTAAATTGGGTTTTGTGAACCTTTTTGTGTCAGGAGTTAGTCAACACATCCATCTCTTTGAGCCTTCTGCACAGATATGTCTAGGCAATAGCAGAGTAATAGTCCCTCTCTTAACTGACAAAAGAATATATCCATAGTTATGAGAAATTCCCTTAACAAATCTCCCTCACCCGTCCTGCTTGTCTGACTTTTTTAAGCTGTGTGTTATTTAACTTGTTGTTGCTGCTGTTCTGTGTTTATGTTTTAGGTGATTGCTTTAATGTCCTTGTATTAGAGCATAATCTGTTTACGCCATGTAGTTGTATTACAGATTGAAATAAAGTAACAATGCAAGTTAACTGGAGTATGTTCTCAACAGGAATGATAACTCTACCTAATTAAAATGTTTTAAGCAGTTCTAAACTCTCTTGTCCTTCCTAATGAGTTCTGAAAGGTTTCTTTTGTACAGAATATTGCTCCCAGATGTTCCTCTAAATAAAGAATAATGATCTTTATTTTATTTTTTTATCAGTCCAGTAAGTTTGGGAGTGAGAACTTCATCATCCCTTTCCCTTGGGAAAAAAATAAATCTGAAGTATACAGTCTTAATAGCACTATGTGTCTGTTCATTGCTTGAAGGTCAGGTCATTTATGGGGTGGTACTGTTTTGTGCAATTGTATTCTAAGATTTAAATGACAAATTAAATGGTGGAGGATTTCATGAGCCAGACTGCATGAATACTGTTTTGAAAATAAAGAGAACCATGTCTTTAACATGAACACACTGGAAAAAAAACTGTAGTCACATTCCTGACCTGTGCAGATTTCCACCTTTCACATGGAGAACTTCAGAAAGTCATATCTTACATATGGTCCGATATAGGTCCAACTTTTAAGAAGTTGTGTACATTTCTGTATAGTTATTCTTTTTCTTATAGGAGACTTATTACTTTCCACTAATGTAAGAGTCTAATTTATAACTACTTAAATTCACCAAGGTAATTATCTGCAACTGTTTGTATAAGATATTGATTTGAATATTTTTCCTGTTTACAAATATCCATAATCTGCTTTCTATAGCGCCAAATACAGGATGTGCTCCATTAGTGTGTTTAGGGAATCTTAACACTTATTGAAGAATATAACAGATACATCTCTTTTTGTCTTCAAACTGCAGGAAGAAACCCCAGCCAGTGTACACTCATACAGCAACCTGTCTTTTGAGGAGGTGGTCCAGGAGCTAATCAAGCAGAAGGAAGTAGTAAAGAAAAAAGATGCCCACATCCGGGAGCTGGAGGACTATATCGATGACCTGCTTGTTAGGGTCATGGAGGAAACTCCCAGCATTCTGCGCAAGCCCTATGAGCCTACCAAAAAAGCAGGGAAATTCTCCAAAAAGTAAATCAGCAGAACAAAAGCTAGGTTTCTAAGGGTGTAATATACCGAACCATTGTATGAGTTTTTGTTTGATTCAAGACAAAAAAGTTCAGTCTACTTGGTGGTCACGCCATTTGCAAACCAATGTACAAGGCAAAAAGGTTTATAAAGGAACTCTTGCATTAGGAGCCATGAGTATCACCATCATGAAACAGGCAATTGCATCTTTTCTTAACATACAGTTGGTTTTAACTGCTGTCCTTTCATTGTCATCACTGTCAATGATAGTAGTGTGAGGAGTGTGTGAAATGACAGCTTTAATTCTTTGTAAATCATAGTAACCCAGAGGAAGTCTTAGAAATCTGACCTTTGGAGATTTCAAGCAGTTTAAAGTGGTAATCGTTGACAAAGCATCTGTTCTCCCATGGTATGGAAAAGTATTAGCAGTCAATATATTTCAAATCTATACTTACAGTATACATTGTAAGGAGATTAGAGGACTGAATTCTGATGTCACTAATTACCGTACATTACTTTGCAGAGCAGGGCAGTGTCGCCTCTCATTGTGAACAATGAATGATTTGAATTAGTTTTTGCAATTAAAACTGTGAGATTTTTAAATAGCTTCACTGATTTAAAATTCCGACAATTATAGATGGTTAAAAGTAATCTTGCTTTTGTATCCATGAAAATTTCTCTTCTGTTGAATAGGAAAACCAGGACTGGTGTGGAGCAACTCCATATCGTTGTTTGTTTCAGCCACTGATGCATTCCTTTATTTTTTCAATTTAAATAAGCACACAAAAGAAGCAAGTCACAAAGATTATTTTCGTGAGCAGGTTCTTAGAGTCCTCTTTCTGTGCTGAAAAATAACTCAGTGTTGAAAAAACTAGGGCTTTTGAACACTACCAGTATACTTACATGCTGTTTATACTAAAACTGATATATCATTTAAAAATGTTTGTAGTATTAAGTAGTCTTTAAAAAGCCAAGGCAGTAATAATCAGAGACCATGTGTCAGTGTGTATGTCTTTCAGTTGTGTTAACTAATACCCATAGTTAACACTTTGGAATGTTGTGCTTAGTCTTACACATTTTGACATAAATTAACCAGAATTCTTACATTTTGCTACAAGGTTTTTTATGTGATTTGCATTTAAAGCCAACAAAAAGAGGAACAGAAGAAAGGGTTAGAAAACAGCCAATGTATCTTTGAAACAGTTTACAGTTTACATACACGATTCAGAAGTTTTTTTGTTTACTTTTGTTGATTGGCTAAGGGTACTATTAAGTGTGTATATAATAAAAACATTGATTAGCAGAAAAGACAACTAAAAGCATTGATTAGCAGAAAAGACAACATATCTGGTGAAATCCCATTTACAGGGTACTTTTCTTAATATCACTCTTTCTGAACATTGAGAATGTAAAAATAAAAAACTATATAAATAAGTACTCCAAAGTACTCCTGTAGGTAGCTAGTGTATGTCAGCATGCGTAGGCTGCAAAGGAACAGGTAAAAGTTTATTCCATACCGAAAAGAAAAGAGATAATGTGTCGGCTGTAGAGCCTTCTTTAGCTTCTTCACACCTGAAGAAGGCTCCACACCCAAAACATTGCGTCTTTTTCTTTTAAGCATGGAATAAACCTTTACTTGTTCCAAAGTACTCCATGTTAGTGTAAAGAAATAGATTGAGATTGAGAAATGTTTGAGCTACCTCCCTTCTCAGCCTTTGGTTGAGATAAGACACTACCTGGCTCTTTCAATGGGGCTCACAGTTGAAGTGTTGATGTTGCACCTTCCATTCCAAATACCAAGTAAGCAAAAAAAAAGCTGCTTGAAATTACTTTTTAGGCAAGAATTGCTTAAAATTAGCTGTTTTAAACTATAATGTATTTTAATATAACTATTATGTGCCCTTACTGTGTGGTACTTTAGAAATAAGAGCTTAAGAGTTAAATCTGTTACATGAGACAGTGACACTGTCTTAAATCATTATTGAGGTACTCCAGCTCTATTACGTTAATTGATTGTGGCAGGTACTGGAAAATTGACACATCATTAAGTTTTGTTTTTAAGAGTGCAGAGTATTTTTTAATTAAGTAGTTTGAAAGAAAAACATAATTTCACTGATGTTCAATGGAGAAATTAAATTAGACTGATAGAGGGTAACTCAGTAGTTACAGGTTTTGGTTTATACTTATTACATAAAAGTGGGGAAATTAAAAAATGTTATGCACCTTGCCAAGCAGGACATACAGCTCTGTACACCACTACTTTTGAAGTTTTAGTCTAATGTAGATAACATTTTTTAGTTTAATGTCAGTTGAAGCAGGATGGCTGGTTTAAATTGTTTATTACACTGGTGCAGTGTTGACTTAATGTCCTTCCACAGAGTGTAAGTTTAAAGTATTACTTTTAATCACACCCCACAATGTTGTAAGGTGACATTCGGTGATGTGTAATTTACAAACAATATATTTCCAATACATGTTTGTTCAAATATTTTTTTTTTAAAATATATATCCTACTTTATTTACGCTTGAATATTCTTGATGGCTAGTTTCTTATTAGAGCCAGTGCTGATCAGTAGCAGAGCTCTAGGAACTTCACATCTATCAAATAAGAAGTAATTAATCTTATATTACGTCCTGAAAAATACTTGCATAAGTTACAGAGGTAGGTAGGTTTTAAATGAGGTAACAACAAGGTGTACATCTAGTGCTGTGTTTTGCATATACTTACTATATTTTGCTTTACGATATTAAAATTAAGCTCAATGAAGGTTCCAAATTTAACATCTTTGTGATCCAATGACTTTGCAATGTGAGCTGTGTGTGAGTTAACGTGCACATGTTCTGCCCATGGGTATGTGCTTCAGCTGTCTTCGGCAAGCTCCGAAGTCTTGGACACATTCACTGAAGTTCTTCTTACAAGTAACCCTGAAATCTCCAGTAAGCAAATGACAAAGCCATGACTGGATGAGCTGAAATCCTGTCTTAGGATGTTGCAATATCCCACATACTCATCTTTACTTGCTCTCTGTGTTGTAGAGAGCTCTGTGGTTAAGTTCTGTGGAAGTGTAGGTTTTCATTTTCATCAGAAAAATGTTGAAAGTGCAGAGAAAAGGGAGATGAACAGAGGGGACGAGTGGGGTTTTTGTACAGGTGAGAGAATAGGAAATTGAGGGGGTTGGCAAGAAATAAATTAAAACAAATTTTACTTACAGTAACTAACTGTAAGTGACTTAATGGAGTGCCCCCATATGTGTCCACATAAAGAAGCAATTTATTTTAACTTGAATGCTGGTAACTGTATAGGTACAGTAAATGGTAAAGTTACTTTGCAAGTGTACTGATGCAGAATATTTCAACAGTTCAAAGTTTTTTAAGCTTAGAAATAAAATTTTATCAAGCCACTTTCCTCAACAGGAAAAGTGGATTTTTCTTTTTTTAGGGTTAAGGAGACTATTTTTTCATTGATGCACTTTGGTTATTGTGAAAATATCATGTATTTACTTGAAAACTCAATCATATCTGAGTCTTCCAGCGCTATATAATCTATTATTTTTCATTTACATTTTTAATATCTTAAAACCATAAATTGTATTATCTTGCTATTTCTAACTCATTCGTTTATGCACAGATATTGTTGGCCAACATAGTGGAATGTGTTTTTTAATACACTAAAAAATATTGTGGTTTACTTTTTCTCACCAAAGCCATCAGAATGAAAAACACCTTGACAAACAGCAGATGTTGACAGGAAAAACAGATGTTTATTAAAGTTTATAACACTGTCAGTAGAGCTGCTTGAAAAAACAATGTATTATCTCTCATTAGCATAACATTCTCACAAGACACTCGTTGTATATCTAGAGGTTACTTGAATTCCCAGAGTTTGTTTCTGTTTTAACCCAGTGGAGTCCATTTCCCAGGCCACACAATGCAAGGCCTATGGGTGACACTAATTGTATATAATAGCGTTATCTCTCTGTTCCTGTCTGAAGTGCAGGTGCATGTAATCTCCCTCAAAATCTAAAACACAAACATATCATTACTGATGCACAGAGAAAGTTCCCATTTGAAACATTAAAAAGTAAGAGAAAAAAATACAAGTACATATCACTAAAGATTTTACAATAATTTACAGTGGACAAGGTCTGCATGGTTATGGAACAGAAGTGGGGAAAGAAGTGGGTTTTGTCTTTAAATAATTACCATTAAATTAGGCAGGTCTGTTGAAAACAACATTTACCTTTGATATCATATTTAATCTGCCGTGAGACGGTTGTTTTACAAGACTGAGTATTTGCTTGCTAAGTTTGTTTTATTCTTCTGGCCAATCATACTGTACATTACCAGAATCTATATGTTTGACAATTCACTCATGATTGAGCGAGCTTTCCTGGTGCTTAGAAAAGAAAAATAAAACATGCACTGATTTCCTAATCTTTTTTGTTAACTACTTTCAACAAAGTGCTTCCCCGTATAGCATTTGATGCTTTACAAATAGAAGGAAAAAACTATTGTTAAAACAGCTGTATTTAAACAAAAAGTCTTCTATTTTGAAAACAAGAATTTGAATCTGGACTTCACACACTAGCAAAATTGTATTGGATCTGTAATTCACTCCAGATAAGGTGCCCAATATGGGTTGTCCAATGTACAGTATATCACTAGTATCTTTTAATCTATTGAAACTACACAAAACACAGCAAATTATAGAGTTCCTTATTACTGAAAAAGCAATACAGGAAATGCATCTCCACATGCAATTAAAAAATATAAACTTATCTCTCAAGAAGTGTAGTGAAGTCAGAGTGAAATAGAATGCTGTTTTAGTCATGCTTCCTTTCCAAAAAGTAGAGACGAAATTATTTGCTCTTTTAAATCCTTGGAAAATAGGTTTAAAAAATATAACCACAAAAAGTGCTACTGGCAAACATTGGTGGTTTGAAGGTTTAATTGGATCGCATGTAACGGCAACACGTCTCCATTTTGCGGTCATAAATTTAAACCTGTGAAGTTGACATAACATGTTGAAAATGCTTATATATCAATTAAATAAAGCAGGCAGTCTCTCAGACTTTGCCAGTGAAGCAAGCTGTTGACTTCCTGCTTCTTGAAAACGCTGACTAAAAAATCCTTCAAGGAATTTGTACTTTTGGGCTAAAAGAGAGGCTGAATTCAGTCATAACATACTACTGTTAAATTCCTGACATTCTTATATTAGGTACAGCAAGATAAACATTCGTACATATATTTCTTTCTCTGTATATAGTAATATATTTCTGACACTTTGTCTATTCCTAGATTGAAATCTGAGTTATTTTGTTCTTTAACAATATTACTATATATTTTTTCTATGTTTTGTCTTATCACAGTAAATGTGTGGAAAAGTAAGATGTAAGTACACACAAATTAAAGTACCTATTTCGTGGTGATTGGTAAGAGAATACATATGCATTTCTCAAACTATAAATTGTGATTATGTCATTACAATTTAACTGTGTATTAGGGAAAATTCAAAACCTAAAAGAAAACTAGACTGTAGTTGGGCCTAAAGATAGTGAAGATTGTGAGAAAGGTGCAGAAAGACTTGATTACATTTTTTTCAAATAACTGGATTTAAGTCATTTTGTAGACTTTCATTTTACTTGACAAAATCTAGTTCTCCTTATTAACATTTCCAAGACCTATGCATTTTGTTTTTTTTAATATGTACTATATATATTCAATTTGTTTTCTTTTGTTGAATGATCTGCTTCCTGTCGCAGAATTGTGGTCCACTGCTGTTCAGTAGTGAGTGTGGCATTACTAGATGTTTCTTCAGCTTTTGAGGGTGATAAAAACAGACTTGTTTGTTTTTTTTTAGAAAAGCTGTCCGACTGGTCAGGCTGAGAAGAATGGGAAAAAACGAATAAGAAGTTAAACATGACACAAGATTGTATCACATTGCTTGGGCAAGTATGTCCACAACTGCCTAATTTAATGAGATAAAAGCAGCCCGTAATCACACACAGTACAGTACCACCTCTTGCTTTCTTTCTTAATTTTCCCATCTTCAAGTAACATCAGTAGTTCTGTGTAAGGTCTAGTGTGTGCTGTAGGTTGCATCCTAGGATGTTTTTCATACAATTTGAGCAATTCTATAGTTGTTTGTTCCAAGATGTTAGCCGTTAGTGGTTTTCCTATTTAAGTCTCAGAGGCATTTGACATGTAGTTCCCTGTCTGACTTTTTTCCACTTGCACTTACAGGTATATAATGTATAACTGCTTCACACTTTTTTAATGCAACTGGAAATGGTACTTTAATCTCTTGTGTTTGAAATATTTTCCATAGCATTCTGTAGTTATGTAGTCAAAAAAAAGTATTTACCCTTCTGTATGAAGTGTGCAAATTAATAATGTAATAAATCCTTGCTTTTGTATGGTGATTTTCATTCTAGAGAGTGCCAGAGCATTTTCCACATACAGTGTACTTTATCCACCACTGAAGTACAGCACCCCCTTGTACGCACTGCAGGCAGGGCAGGTGAAATTAGAAATAACCTTACTAATTTAATTAAGGGAGTTACTGTAGGAAAGTGATATTACACAACCCCAGAGTGGAATTTAGCCAGGACATAAGGGCTGACACCTCTGCTGTTACTGTACAAGCAATCTCATAGGATCTTCAATAACCACATAATCACAGCTTAATGTCTCATCCAAGAGACAGGACTTCCTACAGTACAGTGTCCCCAGTCACCATACAAAGAAATTGGTTTAGGAAGTCTAGTACAGAGAGAGGGGTACCACCTACTGGTTTACCAACACTACTTACAACAACAACCTGTTGCCACCTCCATTCTTAGGAGATCTCTCTAACTAGGCCTAAACTTGCTTAGCTTGTGAGATCTTATCAGATCTATCTACATGGTGATAATGCTTCTGCTGTACATATTAGGGCATGAGAGAAGTAATAAAGTTATAATTAATTCAAAAATAAAACACTGGATATTCAACTAACTGTTTGACTGATAGATACTGGTTGTATCTGTAACTTACTCCTTACTGAGTGCCTAGCACGTACAGTATTCCTGAATTTCTGACACAGTGTCCTGAAGGGTTTGTCCTGTTGTGGATTGTGGCTGAGAAGTATTTTCTTACTCTGGGTAAAAACATTTTCAAATGGGGGGTTGGTATATATTTGGTATATGTGAATGCACAAGACTCCTAACTCAAAGTAGAGTAAAATTAGTTGTGTAGCTGTACTCCAGAAATATCACTTGCCATCTTACCATCTCTCTTCCATGTTTTAGATTTTATCAGCAGTAGTTTCTTTGATGCTATGTTTGCTTATTCTAGTTTTAACAGCTTTCTAAAATAAATAATGGAAATACTGTAAAATAGTATAAATAAATAGTTCTAAAAAGGTATTTTTAGATGAAAAAAATCACCTCCCAACTAATTGAAGTTGGAATGCTCTGTTGATTTCTGGTAAAAAGTTGAGCTTAATCTCACGATTAACTACAAATTAGTACGTTTTAAAAGGGCCGTGGGATGTAAGATAGAAGAATCACAGTGAAGGATAGGAAAGTGAAGGTCACAATAAAGTGACTTTGGAAATGATTAATTAAAACTACTTTATTTCATGTTTTATCCAAGCTGACAGAAAATAGTAGAAAAGGGATGTAAACTGTTCCTTTTGTTCCTTTTGTACAACTACAGGGCACCATACAGGCACACTTCCCAGATAACTTCCCAGCGGAATCCAGTGTTTTAATAAACAGGATCAAATGTATTGCTATACTCGTGTTTGTCTGCAAAGCATGTACAGTATGTGTTCATAAAGGCTCTCCAGCTTCATGTATTACACAGAGGGTTTAGGAGCAACAACTCCTGATTTAGCAGCTATGCTGTAGCTCTTTGTCCATATCTTGTCACTAAAGATTCTTTCCAAAGATATTTTTTGCTTCATTTTCTGCTTCAGGTGTTTCTCATTTCATTATCTCTGAAGAATTCCAGCTATCCAAAGCAGACAGGCATTCTGTCGTACCAAAATTGTGAGAAAAGTTGATATGCCAAGTGAAGTCTTTGGGAGTGTGCAAAGGATAAAATAAGTAGAAATAAAGCAGTGGAAATATGGGATTCTGATGTTCTTAAGAATGACAATACTGACTTCGTGAAAGAGTGGTCACCCAGAGACAGTTTTGGTCATTCACTCTTTTGCTGCACATATCACTGCCAACTTCACTGGTGTGCAAAAATCTTAGACATTTGGGATATCATCAAGATATAAAAAATCTACAGTACCCATGTTATGAGAATGAAGAACGGCTTTTGAACATAGTATTTTACACTGTTATAACAACTATGGATTAGAAGAAAATAAATAAATATCATATGATACTATATCTGTTATTTCAAGAAAACAAATGAACAGAGTTCCCAGTGGAATACATTCTTCTTTACAAGTGGTTGGTGTGTGAAGTGTCTTCTAAAGAAGACCTGATGTTTTTTTTTCATGGTATCACCAGCTGTCTAACACTGTCGGCTACTGTACATCCAACTTTTTCACCAGATTTGCTTGAAAGTTATTTTGGAGAACTGAAAGAAAGTAGTTCAGCAATTAATAAACGCAATTGTTTTTTTTTTTCCATAATAGGACATATGGATTTTGAAGGGTCTGTTTTTTGTTTTCAAAATGCAAAATTCAGTACAGTCAAATACTTAGCATGCAGCATGGAAGTGTTGAAAAAAAAATTAAGAAGATTCTCAGAGATATTGAAACTTTACTTACAGAATATTTAAGGAATGGGTGATACCTACAGTATAAAGACATGTTAAAGGTATGATTTATGCAATAATGATATTAATACACAACAAAAATGATTGTATTGCTCTTTAAAATAAACACTGTACTTAATGAAGCACAAAAAACTCAAGACCTGTTTATTGTACTTCCTCTTGTCATGTCTTCATTTCAAGTTCCTCCATAGGTTTGATAGTGATATGCCTTTTCTAAACATTAATGCAGAAAACTACTCTTGTGAAGCTGTAAGAGTTGCATTTTTTTCTGCAGTGCAGTTCTATAGTGTTCTGTACTAGTTTTATAGTGATCTAGACTACAGTAAGTATTCATAGACCCGGGTATAGGTGGTTGTGCTACGTGAGTGCAAATGATCCTTTTGAATTTTTCTTTTTTTTTTATTAAAGGTCAATTGCAGTACTTGACAGTGATGCTGACTATACTGTTTAATCTTGTTACCCTACTGCAGTATTTTTGTAAAACTAAACGTTTGCATCTGTATTTTTAAAAACGTGCTGTAATATCTTGGACATTGGAGATAGAAAAAACTGGCACAGAAGTACTGTCCGAACTGAGAGGAGGAGGAAATCTCTGAAAATGAACAGACTTTGGTCAGAAGAAGAGTTCTCAGTTTTACTCCTCTGTTAAAACAAATATACAGTGTGCAGTCAATTTAAAAATTAATTGAGAACATGAAGATGCAGTGAAATGCATATCCCTTCCCACACGCACAACATAGATATTCCTTTTCTGGTCATTAGCACTTTTATTTGTGTCTAGGGTCCCAGTGTAAAAACATACCATTAGAAGTCATAGGACGTGTAATGTATGTATGCGCTAAAGCAAATAATTTTAGAAGCCCTCACAAGTACTGCAACAGACAGTGCATACTGTATACAGAGCCTTGTTAAAGTATTGTAACGCAGCGGGGGCTCAGGCGGGCGCCCTTGCCGCATTAGGTCGGCCAGATGCGGCGAGGGCGCCCGCCTGAGCCCCCGTTGCGTTACATTGGTGTCAGAAGCGGGGCGGGATAGCCCTTCGCCGGGGACGGCGATTTAA